TTTGGGTGGGGGGATGGGGCTGGTGCTTGGGTTTTTTTTTAATTTACTTGTTTCCTTTCTAGGTTATATCTGGCTGTAGTTATATATAAATGTCTTGTATGTATACAGACACATGCCTAATCTTGCTCCATATCACAAAGGCTGTAGAAATAAAATGGAGGCAGTGTGTAACTACTCCTTTACAATAAATGTGTCGCGAACATGTATTTACAAGTACTGTAGCAATTAATGAAATTAATTTGTGCATTCTCACAAGCAATCACAAAGCAATCACAAAGCTTTTGTGGTGTCTTTTCTTACCAAGTTGCTCTGCTAAATGTTTTCCCCTCTCAGTGAAGATTACCCGTTCATCCTCCATGTCACATTTGTTGCCAACCAAAATAACCTGGGCATTATCCCAAGAGTAGGTTTTGATTTGAGTTGACCTTAAAAGAGAAAGAGAGAGAGAAAGGGAGAGGAGTCAAAGCAAAGCAAATTCCCTTAAAGTCAATTTCAAACAGAGTTCAAGACAAAAGAGACAATACTGATTTTAACAACCAGGGTAACATGATTCTGTTTAATTACAGTTTTCAAAATAAATAGGGATTATCTGTGAGGTATTACTATTATAGGGATATCATCAACCCAGGTTTTAATTTTGCTTGCTAAAAATCATATTTTCTCCTGACATCAAAATTGTTCTTATATTTTTAGAAGGAAGCGATGACACTTTTTCTCATTTTCACATTTTAATGTCAATCTTGTAATCTAAAAACAGAGCTCTGAAAGAAAGTCAACAACTTATTCATTTCTTATCTTTTGCCTTTTAAGAGCAGCATGTAACTTTAGCAGCAAAAATTTCAAAACTTCAGAGGCAGTCTGACTTCCTTCTGTTGTTTCTGTCCAGCATTCCTCTACAGGTTTTTGATCTACCAGAAAGGATGCAACACTTACACTGTGCATTAAGCCATGTACAGGGGTTGAGTTTGAACTCTRATTTACCTTTAATGTAAATTAAACAAGCCGTAACCATGACTGCAGCTGAATGGGAGTATCTGAKACCTTGAGACACCATGGGACCGTGAGTGCTGCAGTGAAACAGCTCACCCCACAATGCTCTCTTCTGCACTTTGAACATGATGCTGACAATGAGTGGCTTAGGAGCGTACTCATGGTACCTCTCAGCTGATGGTACCCAGACCTGCACTGTAGGAAGGAGAGCTCCAGGGCTGGCTGCAGGCTCAGCCAAGAGTGATGCTGCCCTTACCATCTTCTAACTGGGGCAGAACCTGGYCTTGAAGGTAGCACGGGGTGCAGGAAGCTTACTCCAAGCACTTACCTTCTGTCTTGGCCTTGAGCCCATTCATGGCTTTAGGCTGTGAGTCAAGTGTTTGGTAAAATATAAATACTTCTTCTGTCTCCATATGATCAATAGAGAGAAAAAAGGATGGAGAACATCTCTCTTTCCCCCAGCCTGTCCCATGCCATTGCCTTCCTCCCTCCTTCTCTGCCTCTTTCCCTGCTTCCCTTTCTCCAGTACAGAGAAAGGACAGAGTACAGAGTGCTTAGGAAAACAACAATAGAATAGAAAATAACCTCTGTAACTACACGTTTAAGAGAGGACACCCTGGAAGGGAATCCTGTAATGTATCAGGGACCGTTTTCTTCAAAATCTCTTTGAGAAATGACAAAAAAGCTTCAAAACTCTGTCACCTAAACATCTTGGAAGTTGGTCTGTGTGGGTCCTATATTCACTAGAGACTGCTTCTCATAACACAGCCACCATCTCTACATATTCAGACTCCTGTCTGCAAACTGTTACTTTAATGAAAAAGATCATGATGGAGTCTGACAACTGGTTCTAGTGAAAGACAGAAAATGGATCAAATCTCCCAAGCTGGCTTTTCTTATTACAAAACCAAAGGGATGGCCATGGGCAAAAGCTGCTATAGCTGTCTTTGTGACCCTGGGTCCAATGCCATGGCCTACAGGTCCCCTGCATGAGTCAAAGACCTCTAGGCCTTGTCTGATGGGTTTGCAGTGACAAGCAGAGGAATTTAAGGGGAAGGATCACACTGCCTTTAGGAATGTTTCACTTTATCACAGTGACCAAAAAGAAGCTGAGGCAAGTCCCAGACATTTTGTGCTACAGAGTGTACCCTTGGGCMTGACCTAATCTTTTCTTCAAGAAGTGGGCCCTGTGCTACTTTAAATCTGTTTTAATTGTAATTTGAGTAGGTGTTCAAAAGGTACTGTGATCAAAAAAAAATCAGATTTTCCTGTACACTTACAGTTTACTAAATATACCATTTCTCGGAAAAAAGGACAACATGCACTCACTTTGGCATAAATTTCCTTTCGGAATCATGCTGAGTGATTAAGCAAAGTAGAATTATTATTGTGTTTTTTAACCATAATTACATTTGTCACCATAGTAATTTTGCAAATACATGTACCTCAAATGTCAGAGTATGTTAGTCCATTAAGGACTAAAAAAAGAGCTTAGCTCTGAACAATTATTAGCTAAGAGCCAATTTATTCCCTTGATGTCAACAGGAAATAAAATATATTCCAAAAGCAAAATATACAATATAAGATATAAAGTTTTACTGAAGGAATWACTTACATAATCTGCAAAGCTGAAATAGAATAAACTGACAAAGAAATACAACCTGAAGAAATATCATCACATAAGTATAAAGAGCATTCATTCAGCCTTGTTTTGCAGAYTTTGGCTCCAGAGTTTTACATAGTTTCTTTCATTTAGAATGCAAGCCCCCTTCATTTTACTGCAGCCAGATGTGATTTTTTATTTTATAACTGTGAATCGGTGCATTAAAATACTTCTCATTACCAAAGCAACTTCTTTTACTTGTAGACATTTTTAATTGTCTTGGTTATGTCTCATCTTCTAGTATCATCTTTTTTTTCTTTTTAAGTAACAAGAGGAGATCTTGTCCTCGCAAAAAAWTCCGAAGGTTTATGTATTGCAAAAGACTCTGTAGTGCAAAAATATAACTGGCTGACTGAAAATCAGTGAAATGCTTCCTCACCCAACCCCACATCAGCAGAAACTTGATTCAAAGAATATAATAGGTTTATCACCATTAGGTTTCCTTTTAGACATATATTTTCAGTAGTGGCTTCTATGTTTTGATTCCCACAACTCTCCACCAAAAAGAGATTTTGCTGTTCCTTTCTTACATSACCTTTCAAATGACTGAGGCTTCTGATTTACCCAATACTCAAACCATTGTCCTAGTAAAGAACTTCAGCCTCAGGAAGATTGAAGACATGAGAAGGCAAAGATGATGTTTGCTGAAATGTRAGCTGATGTAAGCTGAAAATGACAGTTCTTGATCACTCTTGGCGACCTGCTGTACATCAACAGTAATTCACCCTGCAAATCTTTTATATGCTGGTTGTATGGTAAGCAATCCTCATCATGCTTGAATTTTTATAATATAAAAATTCCAGAGGGGCAGGCTAATAGAGGAGTGCAATGATMCCTTACTTTCCATGGTTAACACAAGGTTTGCTCTCCCTGTACTCCAATTCTACCATGTTCCTGGTCAAAGAGCATTTGCTGAATGCAAATRAAAGCAATGCTATGGGTTCATCTTAAAACAGTGAGACCTTCAAATCATGGTCCAGATAACAATGGCAGGGTGCGTTTGTGTGCTCTTGTGCAGCTCACAAGGAATGCTGCACAGTGTGATAGAGTGGGGCTCAGGAACACACAGCCCCATCTGTCTGAACAGCTGAGATGCTGGAAGCCAAGGCAGACAGCACAGAGCGAAATGGGAGAGCTGCTCTGATGTTACCACAGTGGCAAATGGACTCTTCACATGAGATTAGGTGATGAAAGTTTATCTATACACCCAAAAGAAGCACAGAGAGATGATGGCAGGAAAGAGAGCCCAAATAACATTCTGGCCCTGGCTGTTCTCAGGTCTACTGCAGGAAACATCAGATTATCCAAACATCAGATTATCCAGAGCGTATCCTCCAGCCTGGAGGAGCAGGAGGACACTAAGGCAGATTACCAAATCAAGACCCAGAAAAAGACTGGGACACCACGTCCCTTCCAGGGCTATTCCAGGAAAGCCCRAGCCCCACTGTCCAGCATGAAACCCATCATTAATAGTCAACACCACAGGTGCCAGAAACTGAGGACACTGGGATCCAGGGGCAGCTGCTGGGAAGACTGAGTGCTTGAGCCCAGCTACTGGAGGGAGCCACATTTTTGGATAGATACRCAGATACACATTCTCACAGATACACATTCTCATGAGTGGGCCTCGAGGCTGTGCTACTCTGGAGGGGAGCGGTGTGAGCATGATGATGCTCTGGGTGTTTGCGGGAGCACTCTGGGTGGCCCTGGGTGTTTTTGTCTGCAATGTGTGTGTTTATAGTTCTGTTTTGTCCCTTTGTGGGACTGCTCTTCAGGGAATAGCTCTTCAGCCTCACTACTGGCTGGACATGGTGTATGGAGCTGCAGCAGGCTCTCCCCTTTTAGTCAGATGCAGCAGGATATATTTTATTCTAAGAGTTCAGACTTGGCTGTGCCTGGTTAACACTGTCTTACTCCTTGGAGAAACTGYTACAGAAGGCAAATCTGCTATTGTCAATATATTTCAGGTTGCCCACCACTGGTGTGCCTTACGTTCCTGAAGATCTCTTCAGAGGATCATTTTTTACTGAGTCATATRTCCAGGACAAATATCCATATAACATACCATAGTGTCTAGTATATTTTCACCCACATTCTGCACAGAAGGTAAACAAATATACTCAGTAAAGAAATGTCCATATAGTAAATATATGAGGAATATGAACTTTTAGAGTTCATAACCTATGAAACATCTTTGGWCCTAGTCCTCCAAGGATGCTTGCAAGCCACACGCCACACTCAAATGAAAATGCTGCAGAGGGGGCTCTGTGTAGTGTTTATTCCAGCAAGTTTGAGGAACATGTTGTATTTCTGGTATTCTGCTTTCTGAAAGGAGTACTCAATGAAGTGGTGCGCAGAAATGAA